AAGATGATCAGAGGGCTGGAGCACCTCTGCTATGAAGACAGGCTGAGAGAGTTGGGGCTGTTCAGCCTGGAGAAGAGAAGGCTCCGGGGTGATCTTGTTGCAGCCTTGCAGTACTTAAAGGGGGCCTACAGGAAAGCTGGAGAGGGACTTTTTACAAGGGCATGTAGTGATAGGACAAGGGCAATGGATTTAAACTGAAAGAGGGGAGATTTAAATTGGATATAAGGAAGAAATTTTTCACTCAGAGGGTGGTGAGACACTGGAACGGGTTGCCCAGAGAAGTTGTGGATGCCCCATCCCTGGAGGTGTTCAAGGCCAGGCTGGATGAGTCTTTGAGCAACCTGGTGTAGTGGAGGATTTTTCTGCCCATGGCAGGGGGGTTGGACCTAGATGATCTTTGAGGTCCCTTCCAACCCTAACCATTCTATGATTCTATGAAAATGCTCATGGTATGTTAATCATGCCCATTGGTCTGAAAATTTCATCTCTTATTATTGAGGAGAAGACAGTGAGTTACAGTTGTTATGGCTTATGATGATGATGATGATGATTATTGATATTATTATGTTCCTTCCCAGACATTCTTGAAATCTGTGTTGAGGGCACTGGGTGAGTGTGATTCTCCAGAGTGAGAAAAAATCATCATGGGCTACAGCGTGACTTTGTTGGATATGCTGAATTTCAAAGTGACTAGAGATATTCTGAGAGTTCATAATTTATATACAAATGTAATCCTAGACTGTACTTCTTCAAAAGTGGCTTGTCAAAGATGTGCAAAAAGGCTCTCAAAGGCATGAAATTCTGCAGTTGAATTAACTGACTTTGCAAGTAAAGATATGTTTTGTTTCAATGGAGTTTTCTGGGTGTTGCAATTGGGGAATTCTACTGAAAAAAGTTATTCACAGCGGCTCTTCAGCCTGCAGATGTTCTGAAACAGGATCTGTGACTCACCAAACCTTTCATGGATGCAGGCTTCTCCTCCTGCAATTAAATCTACTCTTTCTAGCTATGGATGAGAATCTCAGGAAAACTAGGAATTGGGCAGCTACGGCTCCCGTGTCCCAACTGTGTTCAACTATGCTCAGTCCTGCACCTTTCACTTCAGCAAATTATGAGCACATGTGTGGAAAGGCTTAACAATTTATTTCCTGGTTCAACATTACCTGAGAGTCATATTGCAAAGGGGCAAAGTTGTTTTGTGAAATGGGTTTACAGTGATGGATTGATGTTTGGTAAATTTGTTCAGAAATGTGTGCATTACTGTAAAAGATTAACTTGTAGCAGCCAGTAGCTTTACTTGACATTGCAAGCTCTGACATTTTTCTGTATATAGTGCTAGTCACATAATTTATTTCCTCAAAAAAATTAAAATTAAAAAAAAAAAAAATATTAATAGCGGGCAAAATAAGGATCATCCAAAGGCCAGACTTGTCAATCATGGCTTCATTTACAATAAATGCTCATGTTAACTGGACATGAATACTCCTTTAAAAGCCGTAATTTGGTGAACTGAACAGGATTCCAGGGCTGATAGGCATTGCAGGCATCCTGCTAGGTTACAGATGTAGAAAAGCTCACTTTCAGTGCCTCTTATCTGGACAGTGCAGCTTTCAGAGGCATTTGTGCCTTCTGGACCCAGAGACATTAAGTTGCATAAATAACTCCAGCTTCACTGCTTCAAGGTAGACTAAGGAGATTAATGGACTTTTTAAAAAGGGAAACTGACTGATTTTTTAGAGGGAAAAAAAAAAAAATTCCTTCCCAAATTGAAAGAAAATAAAAGAATAAAAAAAACCCTCTGTAACTATGTTAGCTATGTTAACTCAAGCATTTCTTCAAAAATAACTGTTAACTTTGCTATTCAGGCACCTGGATGTAGGGCAATTATTTTTGTCTCTTGCCTACCTAAAGAGATCTGTTTTATGCTACAGAAAAATTGTGTGGATCCTAAAAGCCTATTTTGAGATACACAACCCAGGAATTTCACGGCAGGCTAGCACTCTCCTGGCTTGATATTCCCAACATAATCTGAGAGCACAGTAGTTTGTACAAGGTGACAATAATCTCATTGACAACAAGAGAGCAAGAGGAAACCAAAGTAAGTGTTTAGTCCAAGTGATCTGGCTCGTCCCTCGTCAGGCAGCAGGGCAGAGTTCAAAGCTTTATCCGAATTGTTGTTTCTCAGTGAATTTCCATTGATTAGAATCTTCTGGGTTTAAGTGACCATGTTCCACTCTCAAAATACATGCATGCAGCAAGTGATGCTCTAATCATAGCTTTCACAAATCTACCTGACATTAACAGACTAAATCTACTCATTACCCTGTGTCACAGTTTCCCACTTGGCAAACGTATGCTAACATCCCTCTGTCCTCATCTGAGATCTGCTCATAAAAGGCACGGTGAAGGGCATCAGCAAATAACGATGTGTGACTGGTGATCTGCGCATAATCATATTGTCTGGTGAAAATAAATTATCAGAAATAATACAGATGATGATTTCAGACAAATATGGTTCTTAATTGTATTTATAATTTGACCACTCCATGCACATACAAAATACATCAAACTCGTAATGAAAAGAAGCAGACGATGCCCCCCAAATATACAAAGAAGCATTTTAAATAACATTTTCGGTGTACAAGCACGTTTGTGCGTATCCTTCCAAAATACATTGTCGCTCTTTCTCTTCTTCCATAGATGTCATAGCACTCTTTGAACAAGACCTGGTAGTTCTGAATTCTCACAGGCATTGCAGCCATGAAAGTTGTACGGTGTGAGCTAGAAATTTAAATTTTTAAACGTAAATAAAAATTTAATGGAATTCTCCACATGTAACCACTAAGGGGATGGGGAGCTAAAAATACATACTCTCACGTTAAATCAGGAGTCTTGATTTGCATGTCACATGACTTCCCCCTGAAATCTCAGAGTGAGACACAAAGTTATGTTTGTTCTGTCAGGTTGAGATGCTGTTATTCCTTTTTAATAGTCCGTTAATGATACATTTGGCACTAGATGCTAGCTAATGAATCACAAAAAGTAAAATATAACTCCTATTACTGTTGAAAAGAAAGAGACTCCAGAATTCATTGGAAAAAGATTTCAGTGGTGTTTTAACAGTTTTCCATCAAGGATGCCAGTGGCGATGGTATAGTGGATTAAATATAAATCAGGAATGCTTGTTGTGTGTATGTTCTCTCTGCTATATAGTGCTAGCACTCTCCATATCACTGTAAACAAACAGAAGACCCTAATTGCAACCAAGTTCCATTAAACTGTCACTGAGAAGTGAATTTATCCAGTCTCCTGTATCAGATCAAAGTTCGCGACTGTGTGAACTCACGTAAGGCTGCACAAACCATCTGGTCCCATCTCTTAGACCGACATTCCAGCTAAACGAAGTGCAAACCCTCAGATAAATCAGTTTCCTTAACACATCTGGCTGACTGAAAGGTTTATCTGCTGTTATACCAACACAAAGGGAAATCCTGTCTTCCTGGTACGCCGGTTGCTGGCAGTGTGCCCACGGGCTCCTTTCAAACACCGGGACAGTCTCTGTTCCCAGAGGAGCACAGCAAAGCACGCTGGTCCTGCCAGCAACTGCCAGATCCTCTCACACACGGTCTGTTTGGAAAACACTGGGTCAGCACCGACTGCTGCGTTTGTTAACACAGCAAACCTAGCAAATCTCTGTTATCCAGGCTGTTAATTCCCACGAAGTCTAAATTCTGTTTTCTGATTAGAAGTTGAAGCTCGACATGAACCATTTTGTGGCTGACGAGTTCATTGTACGTTTTCTTGGTGGCATCAAAATCTGTATCAACTTGGCTATTTCCCCTACTGGCATCATGTTCTTGTTTGAGGAGTTAAATCTTTTGTGGTTCATTTGTCTTTCTCTATTTAATTTTCAATTTAAAAAATATAATTCATACCGTACTATCAGATTTCTCAAGTGGTGCAATGCTAGTTTTTCTTCATTTTCTGTATCTGGTTTCTTGTGCTTAAAGAAAGGTTTGCTTTTTATTTTTTTAAAGAGTCTTGAAAGACCTAAATTCTAAGTGACTTAGTTCTTTGATCTCTCCTGGTATCACTCAGAAGAGCAGTAAAACAGCCCTCTGACCAGAGATCACATATCAGGAAAAGGTTTACCTGGATCAGACCCTGAAACTATAGAAACACAGCTGCATATGCTGTTCTTGTTTTTAATCTACATCCTAACTTTTTATGACTGCATTTTACTCCAAAAGCACTTTAACAATGTAAAACATTACGTACTTTAAATGCTGACTTTCCAGCAGAAACGACTTCCAACACTGCCTTCTAAATCTGTGGATTCAGCATACTGAGACTAGAAGTGTGTGCTGAAAACAAACCAGCTGTGGATCTGGGTAATACTTCTTCACTATACACATTTCTTCAGAAAACAGATGACAATATCGGGTTTTGCTCTGTTTTGCCACAAGAGGGCACTCCCTTAATTCGCGTCATTCCTAAGGCAATGTCCATGACCAGAGACAAGATAGACTCGTTTTCTATCTAAACCCTTATTTCAACTTTTTACATAGATAAATTGAGAAATTTCATTCTGTTTGTGTTCTCAGCATGCATTTGACTTACATCAAGCTACTAGGCAATATTATTTAGCTGTGAGAACACACTGTGCTTCATAAATTACTGATAAGACAAAAAACGATGGGAAGTAAATAGGATTTCCCTTCATTACCTTTAGAAATAGCAGTACACTGTATTAACATGACTCATTCTTCTCAGTGATAAACTCAGACAGGTCACAATCAAAAGGAAAGATCTTAAGATGTGCTGCTTTCAGAAGCATGAGAAATTTGTGAAACATGAGAAAAAATGTGTTAAATTTTTTGCCCGCTTGTGAATGCTTAGCTATTTGAATTTGCTTAAATATGCCATCATATGCAACAATATACAGCGCAAGCATGGTCCACACAGGAAACTGACTCAAGCACTCAAAGTCTGAAGATTGTCATGTCCTCCCTAATGCAAAACTCTGATTGCATTGACCTACTTAGAATCAGATAGTTAAGAAGGTTTTGTTTAAAATGCTTCTAAACAGTCATCATGAATGTATAGTATAACTTATCATGGCGTTTTTGTTTTCAGTCCCAATATTTTATATATATGAACCTGTGTCATTTACCAAAACCAAGACTGATTTCTCCCTCTTACTTAAGTCCAAATAAGATTTTTCCCAGAAACAGTAGATGGATTTCATCCATCAAGAGTCAGCTATGTTCCTGGGCAATCGGTAATGCTCTGGCCTAATCCTTGCTTTCTTCTCCTGAGGGTTGGCATATTTCCACTTGGATGGAGACATTTTCAGCTTTTTTCTCTTTTTATCAGTACACCACACTTTTTCACAGTATTCCTCCACTCTCTGGAAGTTGCTGTAACCTATTAATTGAAGAAATTCTTTGTACCATGGCTTTGATGCTTGAGGTATACTGCTCTGCATCGGACATGGCATTTTGTGAGGTATCTCCTCCTCATAGTCTTTATTGAACATTTCATCTACACGTTCTTCCTCGACTATTTCCAGGGTGATTTTCCTGACAGTGTGAACAATGCTGTGTTCCACTGTCTGACAAAAATAGGTCCCTGCATCCAGCCGATGTAGCTTCAGGAATAGGAGGCCAAGGTCCATTTTGATTATTCTGTCGTCTGTCTTCACCTAAAAAAGAGATTGATGCAGTTATAGAGCACAGGCCTTTACTGTTACATTAAATCAGTGCAATTATTTTGAAAATGTACTATCATGAAGGTAATATTAAATTTTGAGAGGAAGATTAGTGACCCAAGATCCTTTAATTCAATTTTTAAATAACAAAAATATTTACTTGAAGTAAAGAAGAGGTTGCAGTGTGAAAGGAAAGTGGTCTAAAGAATCTGGCAAGCATGGTAGAACATACAGTAGAGCAGGGATTTTTCTGTTTTCCCAGCATGGGTTAGCCACTGGTGGCTAAATCACAGAAGGAAATAAAGTTGAAATATGCAAATAAACTACTGAATGGAAAACAAACAGGCATTTGCCAGCTGTCCTGCTAAAACTGTCCCTGTGACAAATGTTTTTGAGGCAACACTCATGGTTATTTGTATATCTAACTGCAGGACCATTGAGATCTTAAAGCCTTGGTTCTGAGTTTGGTGTTTGAGTTGCCCCTGCAGCTCCTGAGAGCCAGGCTATTAACTACGAGACATTCATGGATGCTAGCAAGCAGGGAGCACTGGGCTGTCTAATCCAGCCAGGAGAGGTGCTCAGAAGAATGAAATCCCCATCTTTGTATTTAACAGCAAGGTGCTGAATGCTAAGCAGAAGAGAAGTACTGGGTGATGAATAAATGGAGAGTGGCCCTGCAAGAAGCTAGGGGATATTGGTGGATGTAGAACTTGACATGAGCTGACAATGTGCACTGGTAGCCCAGAAAGCCAACCATTTCCCGGGCTGCATCACAAAAAGTGTGGCCAACAGGTGGAGGGAGATGACTCTGCCCCTCTGTTCTGCACTTGTGAGACCCCATTTGGGGAACTAGCTTAGCATGAGGTGATACAGCTGCATCACCTGCTAGTTTGATTTCAAAGGTAGCCTACATTGACTAGTTCCTGCATAGATCTCTTCATTATAAAAGTCCACTTTTACTATCAGATGAGTCCCACTCCAGACATTTGCAGATGTCTTTGGCTCAGCTGGGGTGTCGCACTTGCTGTGGATCGTAGCTGCTAGGCAGTAAGGCGACCATCCTTACCCTTTGGTGGTCTGAGGCTTTTCTCCCTAAGTCCTTCCGCATACTCTGTGAGGTTAGCTACACTGATGTGTATCAGAGAAGTATTGAGGAGTAAATATAGTAACACTATGCACTTTCATAATAGGGAAATATATGTAAAAGAGGCAGAGAATTCACCAACACCCAT